GTCTCGTCCATGAGCTGGGAAGGCCCAGCGTCTGTACCGGTTGTCTCGTCCATATCTCCGCGTTAGACGCCCACTTCTGACACCATGTTCAGAGACGTCGAGTAAGACACGAGCATGGCTCATAGCAAACACAGGAAGCCGCTTTATTTCGAACTGCGCCCCTGCTATATACCACACATGAGGTGGCGCGCGCATGTTCCCTGTGCCATTCATTAGAGGATTAACATAGCACTCAGCGTCCACTACAAGTAAATACAAATATTTGGGCGTATGAATAAATAACGGTGCTTAGTACCCAAGGGAGCGCTAAAGATACCTAATGAATAAGGGTAAGAGGGCAGCTATAATAAAAAATAGGGGACTGTGGAACTACAAGAGGTATGGCGTTGTGAGAGAGGTTTGAAAAGGTGTCATGTTCCCGGGTTTGATGTTCGGCAATGCGGTCTTGTGCATGAAATTAGAGGTTCAAGTAAAATTGGAAATTAACCAACGAGGCATGGGTAGACTTGCTTTGGGAGCAAACGGGAATGACCCAAATCCGGGGGTACAGGGTAAAACGGGATGGGCATCGTTTGAGTGCAGGGAAGCTAGCAGCAATATAGAATTTGAAGAGCGATTGGGAGAAATTGGGACCAACGTTAACCTAGGAAAATTTTTCAGCTACTTGTACATGAAGAATGTTGATACTAAATCGGGGAAGCGAACTCGAAAATTGTCAAGCAAGTATTTAGACCGCAGCAGAATACCAAGCCAAAAGTAAACATTGTTTAGGAAGAACGCGAAGAAAACAGTGAGGGACATGTGGAAGATTGGAATGCTTACGAAATAATCCCTGGAAACCTACCGAACTTTCAAGCAGGAAATTTCAAAAGAAAAGATCTACGATGATTCTCGGGGTAGCTCTCTGATGTTCGTGGCCAGAAGGGGAATTTTGCGGACCAAGACGTACCGAGTCAAATACAAAAACACAGACATGGTATGTTGTGCGTGTGGAGAGGAGGAGGAATCGACTGAACATTTGATACATTTGATAATGTTCTGCAAAAGTCTCCACACTGCAGTCCAAGATAATGGCACGGAAGTTTTGAAAGTATGGAGGTTTAGGGACAGCGAAGGCGAAAGAGACTTTAAACGGAATAAATAACCATGAGGAGGCTAACGAATTACTCGCTACAGTCAAGGCGCGAGCGATACTCAATCCTTAAAACACATACATAGTGATCGTACTTAACTGTATGATTAGGTGGCGAGAGCAACGGCTTGATATAAAGGGCACAGCCAGATACATACATTTATTCATCGTGACATATAGTGAAGAAAAGTTATGAATTCACCTGTCATAAAAAAACAGGCTTGGTTTAATGTCATTTGACAGGCAATATTTTCACTACTGGAGTCATATTATTTCATATTTTCTGGACAATTTTTGGCCCCTTAAAATACCTGTGACACCAATTTCAGAAACTGTACATGCTTAGTAGCCTATAAGATATTTTAATTTGGTTGTAAAGTAAGGGTGCGCCCTGGTTTGAGTATTCAGGTGCAATCGACATTTTCCGTAGTTTGATGTAGACCTGGGGCCCTCCCCCGACATTGCAGAGGTTAAGCAAGTATTAGCGACGTCAGGCAACAACTGCGGGGCACACAATACCCCAGCTGATACCCGAGGAAGACTATTGTTCGTCAGACCTCTCGCTCTGTTGTCGGCTGCCCCAAAGGTGGTTTGGCTTCTCAAGCCAGGAACGCTTCTTTTTGTTTTTTTCCTGAGAGGAACACGCTCAAAGCATCCACACAGCTTCATTCTTTACCCCTCCCCCCTAATTAAAAACAGCGCGTTCAGCGTCACCGTAGCTTGAGTGCACATAGCATCAGGAGCTGCCCCGATGTGAGGCGCCAGTTTTTCGAAGTGTTTAGGGGGGGTGTTTCGAACTGACGCAAAATCTTTCTGAATTACCGAAGCTATAGTATAAATGATACGATGAGCCTTTACAATTCAATGTCGGCATTATCAGCAGCAAAGCTACAAGTCCCTGTAGAAAGGTCGGAACTTAACCTTTTGCTGTCAAGGGTCCTTTGATACAAGTCGAGCAAAAACTTTGAGGTCGGTGGTGTGTGTGGTTTTTCTTAGTTTCTTAGTGTGTGGTTTTTTTGGCTTTTTTTAGCTTCATGTGGACTCTTCGAAGGCCAGAGTCAACTAGACACAAGGACAGCGTTCAAGAGCGCTTATTGATAGGAAACATTTGAACGAAAAGAAGCCTGCGTACCTTTAAGTTCGACGCGCAAATTTGAACGAAAAAAAGTGGCAGATCCTACCTACTGTGGGAATCGATGATATGCGAAGCACCAATGAGGAACGTTGATATGTCACTTAAAAATGAGCACAACTTTACGAGGTGGACGTAAATTATGCCGCACAAGACTTCCATGCCATGATTGTCATGTTTGAAAGTGTCACTTGCCTTCGTCGTCTGTTCACGTCGCGTAATACCATATTTTGTGTATGTGGAGCTAGCCATAAGGCCTTGAGCATGTTATGAGCGCAGTATACAGTCAAGTTCTTACATGACGCGCATCTCATGATTATCATGTTTGCACTAGTCACATGCCATCGTCATTCATTCACGTCACCTGATACCAAGTTCGGTAGGTGGGGAGCTAGCGAGACGACCGCGAACACATTGTGAGTGTAGCACGAAATCATGTTTTACATGACACACATGCCATGATTATCACACTTGGACGTGACATTTACCTTAGTCATTCGTTCACGTCACGTAATACCAAATTGATTTGATATGTCGGTTTTACCGTCCCAAAATCACCATATGATTATGAGAAACGCCGTAGTGGAGGGCTGCGGAAATCTCGACCACCTGTGGCTCTTTAAGGTGCACCCAAATATGAGCACATAGGCCTACAACATTTCCCCTTCTATCGGAAATGCAGCCGCCACAGCCAGGATTTGATCCCATGATCTGCGGCTCAGCAGCCGAATGCCTTGGCCACTAGACCACCGCGGCGGGGCGTAATAGCGAATAAGGTATATGTTAAGCTTGCGGAAGGGCTGCGAGTGCATCATGAGTGTCGTATGTTGTTCATGTTCTTACGTGACACTCATGTCATTATTATATTGTTTGCACTAGTGATATACATTCCTCATCACTTGACGTCACCTAACACCATATTTGGTATATGTGAAGCTAGCGAAACGGCCACGAGCGTATCATTAGCGTGACGTGTAGTTATGACTAGTCATAACATGAAAATCATGACGTGCATGTCATGATTTCTGCGTTAGGGTCTGTCTCCTATGTTTTCTATGTAGTCATTAGATACCATACCAGTTTTGCAAAATGTCAGTTGAACTAAACCACCACAAGAGCAGGAAGACATTGAAATGTAAATCATGACATTCATGACATTCATGTCATGAACTTCATCTTATGGCTAGTCTATCATGCTAGTCATACAGTCATGTTATGCCATACCAATTTTGGTATCCATACTATTATTAGGACGGGCAGGAGAGCTAAAAGTCGTAGGCGGTTAGAATGATTATATATATATACATACATACATATAGAGGCAGACAGACAGATAGATAGATAGATAGATAGGTAGATAGACAGACAAAAGAGATAGATACTCCTAAATTCACCGAAGTTTGCCAAGAAATGCTTGGCATTTGAAAGCAGAATGGTTAGAAACTGGGTAGGTAAATAACAGATGCTTGTTTGCAAGGTTACAAAAACTCAAAAGCTACCGCGTATGGAAAACTATGTTGTGGAGTGGCACAACAGGAAAAAACAAGACTAGGAAAATGCATGGTTATTATAATGGTAAAAAATTGGCCCCATGTCTGCATGTTTCTGCAAATATCGTCGAAAGACAATAGTTCTGCGTGCGGAGAGAGTGAACAAGACATCTATTTGATGTTCTGCGCAAGAAAATCGGTAAGTGGTATTCTGGAGGCGCTGCGTTAAAGTGCCTCGAGCGTGCAGCGGAGGCGAACGAGTGCATCAAGTCACGTCACACGTGAGACATGAGCGCCATATGGCAGTTCTCTTAGAAAACAAAGCGTGTGGCTCTGAGACGGGTGTGCACGCCTGTCTCGGAGGTGATAAGGTGTAGAACTCAAGGCGACAGTAGGTGCCACCACCGTCTCCTGTAAAAGATATCTTCTGTTTATGTATTACCAAAGACGGCTCGCTAACACAGATGTCCTTATTTTTGTCTATAAAATATGCTTCCAACAGCAAACGTGCAGATAAATTGTAGCTTCTTCGAGAACCTGCGTGTCTGTGAATCGGGGTTCACACCCACATGCTGTGGTATGTGCGTAGTTGTGCGTAGTAATCCTCGCTGCTCTTAATTTTTAGCACATGCTCCCTAAGCCGGTACTTTAGGCATCTCTCGGATAAGTACGCGCATCTTGTGGCACATACCGCCGCATGTAAGTGTGAACCGCGATTCACAGACACGCAGGTTCTCGGAAGAAGCTACAATTTATCGGCACGTTTGCTGTTGGAAGCATATTTTATAGACAAAAATAAGTACATTTGTGTTAGCAAGCCGTCCTTGGTGATACATAAACAGGAGATATTTTTTCTCGACGCAAGGATTTAGTGCTTCTATAGCTCATGTTTTCTGCTTTTCGTATTTTTTCTTACTTGTTCCTTGTTAGTGTGTGTGGTGGTGGTGCTATATTCATCGCGATTGCCGGACGCGGTTGCGCTTTTGTTAAAGGGTTTTCACATGCGCAGCTTTGTTCTTTCTTGGCTTCGCGCACTCTGTTGTACGTATATAAGAAGGTCTTTTCGGTGCAATAAACAGTTGGTAGTGAGCCCTGTATGCTCTGTGTGTGTTACTCAGGTGGTTGTGTGAGTGAATGTATGAGTGTTTGCGAAGTCGACGTTGCGCTAAATATCTTACAATATGAAGATAACCAACTAGCCCAAAAACAAGTTTATTTGGAATATTTGTATAAGGGAAATTACTGTTGCGTGAAAATCGCCGTCATCTTCAGCCTGACTAAGCCCAATGAAGGCCAAAGTGCTATCCTGTGTTCCGCCAATCAAGCCGGTCCTGTGATTTTTGCGGCCACGTTCATCCTGCGAACGTTTTAATCTCATCGGCCCACTTAACTTTCTGTCTCCCCTTCCTGCGTTTGCCTTTCCTTGGAACCCACTAAGTTACACCTAATGACCAGTAGTTATATTGCCTATGCACTCAGTACTCTGCCCATGTCCATTTCTTTGTAATTTAAATCATGATATTCTCAACGCCCGTTTGTTATCTGACCCACTGTGTTCTCTCTCTGTCTCTGAGGGTGACATTTAATATTTTACTTTTTATTGCTGATTGCGTTGTCCTCAATTTATGTTGAACTCTTTTTGTACAGGGCTCCAGGTTTCCTCGCCATTACTTATCGCAAAGTGCTGTTCTCCGCCGACTTTCACACTTGGCGTTCAGCTTTCCTTGTCCAATTCAGTAATCGGAATCCTATGAATGGCAAGAATCAAATTGCATCAATAATGATATTAAAGAACGTGGTAGTAAAGTAGAAATCATCCCTGTAGTGTAATCGAATTCCCATATACATGACCTTGACACCCATGCATACACCAATGGGAAGTTATTGCTGCATCTCGGAGGGGAAACGTAGTCTTCAGGTATAGTTGATGAATAGATCAGGTGAATTTACTTGTCGTAGTCGAGGACTGTGTGTATCCTGTGTGCGACCGTAAGCACGGTGCTTGCGGCGAAGCTTTCCCTGAGCGTCGCCTGGATAAGCCTGTCCGTATCGCCATCCATCTGCGAGGTGGCCTCATCCAGAACCAGGATCTTGGGTCTCCGCAGCAAGGCGCGTGCCAGACACACCAGCTGCCTCTGGCCGACACTGCGCCGAGCAGAATGCCATACTTTCAACAAGAATACAAAAAGGGAATCTCAGCTGGCCGTATGGGCCATATGACAGCAAACCGGCTGTAAATGAGCGTATTCGATCAGAAGAACACCCAAAGATTTTTTCGAATAAGTGAAATTTCAGATTTATAAAGCAGGCAACAAAGTATTATATTATTGAATTGATGGATACTGTTAAAAATAACTCCACAAAAACTTCACTGGGCTCCTTTGCGTCAAACATATTTTGGGAGAAAAAGAAAATCAAGTTAAGAGGCACCATGAAACCGTATATTTTCGATCGTAATCAGTGTCATGGGACTTAATTTTGGTGCTATATTAGCTCATGTGGTCATGAACTAAATATATATTTAAATATCTCTATATACACGCGAGCAGCCTGCGACTCAGACAGGGCTGGACAACGATGCTGTTACTGCGTCGCGATATGATACAAGATATTCAGGCAAATACAAGATATCTTTAGGATACAGGTACAAGATACTACCAAAATTATTGTATCCGACGCAATACGTTTTGTATACTTTGATACATATCAGAATTGTCAATATATATATATATATATATATATATATATATATATATATATATATATATATATATATTATAAAAAGAAGAAAAAAAGAAGAAAAAAGAAGAAAAAAGAGAAGAAGAAGAGAAAAGTAATATACGGTGGACTCCCCTCGGGCGCCCCCCTCAACTCTATTCTCAACTTCCCCCTTCATCTCTCTCCCCCTTCTCCCCTTCACCTTTCTGATGTCAGCGGTCTGTGTATGTTTCCTTTCACTAACGCATTCCTCCCGATCAGACGGCGCCTCCTGGCACTGGCGGTTCGGTGTGGGGCAAAAAAGAGCTTTTTCAGGAAGTCCTAAGCCTTTAACTACTCTTTTTTAGGAAGTCCTAAGCCTTTGACTACTCGGAGTCCCGTAAACAATTCGTCGTAGAAGGAGGGGTGCCGCGTATTGTGGCAGAGGCTGGTAAGCGGGCATTTTAGGAAGTTCTAAGCCTTTAACTACTCGGCACCCTGTCAACATTTCGTCGTAAAAAGAGGGGTGCCCCGTACTGCGGTAGAGGCTGGCAAGTGGGCGCAATGTGAATTCCTTGCCCGCTTCTGGATTACGCGTGTAGTGGGGCCTCCCGGCTGTGCACAGGGTTGCTGTTGGGCATGTCGTGCATGGTACAATTTATTGGGTAGTAAAATAAAAACAAAACAGAAAACAGACGACAGCTGCACTTAGGAAGAGTAGTTACACTTGGAATTGTTTTGGGTTGTCCATTGCCTTTCGCAGCTGCAGTGCCGTGAACTCAGTTACTATTTTCATTGTTGCCGTTATTGTTTTCTAATGCTTTAATTGCTGCAAGTGCAAGTGCAATATATATATATATATATATATATATATATATATATATATATATATATATATATATATATATATATATATATATATATATATATATTGAACCGTGTCTACATGTGGACAAAACCGATGATGTGGGGATTTAGTGGACACCAGGTAGTGGGCCTCTGGCTTGACCCGAGAACGAAGAAGAAGATCTTGCGGCTCAGCTGTTGAGAACACGCTGCTTTCGCTGCCTCAAGGCGTACTTGTGCTTTGTTCGCGTTGTACTGCGACACTGGTGGAGGTGCTGGCCCGCGACCCCGCCCGATGCTCCACACTCCCACGGGGAGCCGTTCATCTAGCCCAGAAGCACTTGTCGACACTCCCGTGCATCGCTTCAGTCGTCGCTTGCGAGGCCTCCTTCCAGAGTTCACCCTCTCACAGGAACACTCTACAAGGCACCGCTCACATCTACCAATGGCCATCGCCAGTCCACAACAGTTACTACGAGACAGTAGTTTGCCAACCCCATCTCAGGTAACCCTTTTTTCACCGCTGGTGCCGGATCGCTTTGGTGGTGGAGCACATGAAGACGTCGAAGAATGACTTGATCACTATGAACGTGTCGCTAACACCAACCAGTGGTCCCTTGAACGAAGGCTTTCCCGTGCCTATTTTTATCTCGACGACAGCGCTAGAACCTGGTACAAGAACAGAGAAGGCAGTTTGTCAACATGGAGTGACTTTAAAAGAGGGATGATTGACACATTTGCCGATGTCGACCAGCGCGAACGTGCGCAGCATTTACTCGAGCTACGTGTTCAGAAACCCAATGAAATGTTCGTAATGTTAGCTGAGTACATAGCCCGTCTCTTCCGTAAAGCTGACCCGCACATGACCGATGGCAAAAAGTTGCGATACCTCATGCACGGCGTTAAAGAGCAATTGTTCGCCGGACTTTTGCGGAACCCGCCAAGCACCGTGACAGACTTCTTCAAAGAAGCTACGGCTATCGAGCGGGCGCTTCACCAACGATGCCGACAATACGATCGCTTGTCCAGCAGCGCCCACATGCAAGTTGCCGCTACGACATCTGACAATCAAAGGTCGTTGCACGATTTAATGAGAGAGATTGTTCGCGAAGAGCTGCTGAAACTGCGGAATCTGGTCACGGAACCACCCACGGCGTCTGTCGCTGAAGTCGTCCGCGAAGAAATACGCCAAGCGTTTTCAACAGCTGATCCTACTGACGATCAGCGACCTATGAACTACGCAGCCGCGCTTCGCCGCCCGCCGCCCGTTGCGCCATCGTACTGCCAGCCATCGGCAGCCGTTGCTTGGTCGCCACCACAAGAACAGACACCGCGGCGCCCTGCCGTCGTACCGCCGTACGAAATGCCACCGTACCAAGAACCGTCTCCCAACGAGACACTGCATTTGCCACATTACGAGCTGTTGCGGCGTCCACAGCTTCGTAAAACAGACGCCTGGCACACTGTAGATAGGCGTCCGCTTTGGTTTACCTGCGGAGGTGTGGGCCACATTTCCCGCCATTGCTGGCACCACGTAGATATGTTTTGACCTCTTCGGTAGTGGTCTGACGATCGACGCGCCTACGACGGCTACGCACCACGCCGGGACGCTCATTCTCAAGGACCCCCCTTGTCTCAGTCCCATTTTGACAACCGCCGTGCCAATAATGACGACCGTGTGCCTGATTACCAGCCAGGTTTGGGACGTCGACCACGCTCCCCGTCTCCGGCATATTCGCCTTCGCCGCACCGCCGAACTACAGCTGACGTCAGTGGAAGGAGGTCACCAAGTGCATGCCGGGGAAACTGAAGGCGGCGACCTCTGGGGGTGAGGTTGCAGGCCGTCAAGGCTACAAAAAAAGCCCCCCTTACTTGTACCACAGGACGCCATAAAGCTGAGAAATTGTAACACCGACGAAACTGTGACCACAGATCTTACTGTTTCGGTAGACGGAGAGCAAGTAACAGCCTTAGTTGACACCAGCGCCGACTTTTCTATCATAAGTGAAAACCTTGCCGTACGCCTAAAAAAAGTGAAGACTACGTGGACGGGACCTCACCTGAGGACAGCAGGCGGCCAGCTGTTGATGCCTGTCGGAAGATGTACAGCAAGACTCGACATCAGTGGCTCTTCTTTCGTGGCGACGTTTGTCATCCTCACCTCGTGTTGCAAGGACTTGATCATAGGGATAGACTTCTTAAGAGAATATGATGCCGTCATCAATATCCCGGACTGTTCAATTACATTGCGCAACAGCCCTGGTTTAGTTGACTGTTCGGACGCAATACGCAACACTTTACGTATAATTGATGTTGATGTGATCGTCCCGCCCCGGTCATGCCCTCTTGTTTTGGTGGAAGGCCACGAAGCGTTTGATGGCGAAGGAATTGCTGACCAAATTGGCTCGCTGCTATTTAGTCATGGCATTTCGGTCGCACGAGGTATCGTCCGTCTCAGTGGTGGACGCACGAATTTACTTCTGACGAACTTTAGTGCTGAGCGCCGGCACCTTCCGAAGAGCACAGCTATCGCTTCGTACGATAATATTGTAGACATTCGAGGCAGTTTATGTTTGTCGGTATTGGACGAAGCGCCTAATCAAGAACCAGAACCCGTTCTCGATGTTGGCACCACTCTGTCAAAGGACGAGCGACAGAGACTTCTTCAGTTGCTAGCCGAATTCCGCCACTGCTTTTCAACGACATCACGAGTTGGTCGAACACCTTTGACAAAGCACCGAATAATCACCGAGGACACAGTGAGACCTATCCACCAGAACCCTTATCGTGTAGCTTCAAAGGAACGCGAAGCCATACAACAAGTCGCGAAAATGCTTGCAGATGACGTCATTCAACCGTCACAGAGCCCCTGGGCATCGCCTGTAGTGCTAGCAAAGAAAAAGGACGGCACCCTGCGTTTTTGCGTGGACTACAGGAAGCTGAATCGGGTGACCAAGAAAGATGTGTACCCGCTCCCACATATTGATGACTCCCTTGACAGACTTCGGCACACTCGTTACTTTTCTTCCATGGACTTGAGGAGTGGATACTGGAAGATCGGGGTAGACCCAAGAGACCGAGAGAAAACCGCTTTTGTGACGCCAGATGGTTTATACGAATTTAAAGTCTTGCCTTTTGGTTTGTGCTCCGCGCCCGCGATTTTTCAAAGGGTTATGGACAAGGTACTTTCGGGATTGAAGTGGAAGACGTGCCTAGTCTATCTGGACGACGTTATAGTGTTTTCGACCACTTTTGACGAGCATCTCAAAAGGCTGGAAGTTGTTTTACGTGCCATACGGTTCGCGGGTCTAACATTGAAACCAGAAAAGTGCCATTTCTGTTTTCACGAACTTCAGAGTTCTTGGTCACGTCGTCAGCAACGCAGGCGTCCGGCCCGATCCTGGAAAAATTTCCACCGTCGCACAATTCCCAGTATCCTCCAATAAGAAGGCTGTCAGACGCTTCCTAGGCCTTTTGTGCCTATTATCACCGGTTTATCGCAGACTTCGCCCGCATCGTGTCACCACTAACTCATCTCACAAGAGACGATGTTGCCTTTGAGTGGAAAGAAGAACAGGAGGCTGCCTTTAATGACCTGCGTC